TGAAAGCTGGCGGAGGAGGCCTATGCCTAACCCCCCTGTTCTTTCTTCTCTGTGGGTCCTCCTGGGCTGATGGGGCAAAGTACTGGCCAGCCTGCTGGGGCCTGTAATGTTTCCTAGAAGCTGCTGGGGTATACAACCCCAGGGACGTCAAGGTTGCCCTGGAATCCTTAGGAGTTTAGCATCAAGTTTGCTCCGAGAAGAGCAAGATTCTTCAAAGGGGAGATTCTGAGGGTTTGCTGAACCTTCTGAGGAAACCCAGACGACTGCAACCATGAGCTCCTATACATGGTTACAGCTAAGGCCATGGATCTGGCCTCAGAGTCAGACGCGTCCACGGCTGCCTGTCAGGAGGCCCTTCGCTACTGTTTTTCCTTCATTGACCACCGAAGAGAACTCCTGTCTGGCTTCTTGAGGCAGCCAGTCTTTAAACTTTTGCATGGCATCATACATATTAAGGTCATAGCAGCCCAGTAGTGTCTGCTGGTTTGCTATGTGAAGTTGAAGCCCTCCCGTAGTATACACCTTTCTGCTAAACAAGTCTAGTTTTTTGGGGTCCTTCGCTTTAGGCATTGCTCCCGACTGCCCATGGCAATCTCTTTCATTAGCAGTTGACATTACCAGGGATCCTGGAGGGGGGTATGAGTATAAGAACTCGTAACCCTCCTCTGGCATGAAATAACGCCACTTCGTACACTTTGCCATGGGAGGAAGGGATGTGGGGGTCTACCAGAACACCTTAACTGGGTCCATGATAGCTTCATTGAGTGGCCCACTGCCATCTGCCTGGATGCCCAGATTTGAGGCCACTCGCTTTGAGGCCACTTGGGAAGCTTTGTGGTTATCCTGGGGAGGAGACACACCAGCTGTCACCACAGCCTCATCCAGGGAGGAGAACGAGGAAGCCAGCACCGGCTAGGGAGCCTCCACCCCTCCTTCCATTTTGCTGCAGACCCAGGGGGCCTCCTCTTGAAGTTCGGTACTGGGCTCAGTTCGGTACTGGGATCAGTACCGGAGTTCAGATCAGGAGTCTCCTGGAAAGGCACTGGCGGTGCTCTGCTCTCAGAGGTCACCAAGTAGGAGCATCCTGAGAGAGAGCCCTGGGCTGGGGGAACCCCCACGGATTCCAGAAGGGCCACTGCATGGGCACCGGCCCCCACAAATTTCAGAAGGGCCATGCACTTGGTGGCACCCCTGCGTTTGGGGCCATAGAGGAGTACGAGTGCCCCAGGGAATAGCGTGGGCGGCCGTGAGGGCAAGAGGAGAACGACCCCATTCCCGACTACGATGATGATGAGTCTCAGTGATGCGACCAGGGCAGTGTGGACTGGGCTGGTCTACACTGGGCGGGGGGGGGAAATCGATCTAAGATATGCAACTTCAGCTACGAGAATAGCGTAGCTGAAGTCGACGTATCTTAGATCGACTTACCTCGCGTCCTCACGGCGCGGGATTGACGGCTGCGGCTCCCCCGTCGACTCCGCTTCTGCCTCTTGCTCTGGTGGAGTTCCGGAGTCTACGGGGAGCGCGTTCGGGGATCGATTTATCGCGTCTAGATGAGACGCGATAAATCGATCCCCGATAGATCGATTACTACCCGCCGATCCGGTGGGTAGTGAAGACGTACCCTTATATAACTAAAAACTGACTAACTACAAACAACTGATTAACTATTTACACTAGAAAGATAGTGAAAAACCACTGGGAAGTTTGCTGAAGCAACCAGAGGAGTCCCAGCAACCGTCATGGGCGGTAAGAAGGAACTGAGGGGGTGCAAGGTCAGCAGGGCTCTTTATTCTGGCTCTAGGAGTGTGCAGCACCAGGAGGCACCAGAGCTGACCTAATGGATACCACACTAGGGGGAAAAATTCCAGTAACTGTGTTTGGGGCGGGCAAATACTTACATTGGAATGGAAATGTACAAGCACTGGAAGAAGAAACTAAGGTTACAGGAAACCTTACTTTTCAGGACATGAATCCCATGTGCACTTCTAAAATGCATGTGTTCCTCATTTTGGGAAATACTAACCAAAAATTATCAAACCATGACATGAAGGAAAAGGCAGTGAGGCTTTAAAATGTGTAAGGAAGGTTTTCTAGAGCTTTAATTTCATAATACTGCACATCTTAGTTAAATAATTGCACTGTTGGATAGGTTAATGCCAGTCTACATGAGACAGAGTATTGATCCTATATGTGTGGGAATGAGGCATGCATACGTGTATGTGTGTACTACAGCACCTTTGTTGTATGCAAACCCCACCAACATTTAGTTTTTGGAAGCATGGAAGCTGGGCAGATAATTATAGACTCCAGGTCTTTGAATTCTCATTTGGGCTCAAAGTCTCCTAAGAGTCTTGGGACTGCATTTCATACAGCAAGTCCAATCCACAGCCTGTGCATTTTATGGTTCCCCACTTGTACCCTGCTGCTCTGATGCCTTTCTAGAGCTTCTTCTCTGGGATTCTTTTCACAGGTCTGAGCACTCTGACAATGAAGCCACTCTTCCAGCCACCCAAGCAGTGGACACAATTGGTCTTCTACTCCCCTGGCTTCTGCTGTTTGGCCCAGGGCCTAGTCAAATTTGCACAGTACTCTTAAAGATCCCTTTCAGGTGTGCCTGGAATCTGCTCACCCATATACTGGTTTTCAAGAGTATCCCAGAAGTCAGTTAGCTCCCAAATGGAAATGCAAGTCACTTGGGAAATATGTTAAGAGTTTCCCTTTGCCTCTTTGCCCACTGAAACACTTGTCACTGAAAGTATATGAATTTTGAATTCTCCAATCCACACAAAGAGAATCTTTGCTGACTCAGGACTGAGAACATCTAGAAAGTCAGTGGCAGCTCTAGGTCAAAAATTTAGGCAGGGCCCTGTATGTTTCCTTAACTACTCCACGTGTGCTATCCTTCTGCTGGCTTGAAGCTCCTATTACAACCTGCAGGACATATTCTTAGCTACTGGAACAGCTAACCCAAATGGATCTTTCATAGAAGAGCGATTCCAGCTCTGGGAATTGGGATAAAACTCTGTGACTTGATTTTCTAATTTTTTTGCGTTAGGCAATGCCACCAATGCAGAGGCTTTAGCTACATATCCATGACTGGAAAGAGGGAGCTGAGACACGGCCACACTTGGTACCCTTTGGATTCAGGACTGCTTCACCATTGATTTGCTTTATATTTGGCCTAGAAATGAGAGGAAGTGAGATGTATATGGAAATGCTCCATTTGGGACAAGCAAGGTGAATCTCATGTTGAATTGCTTCACCTGGGTGCATTTCTATGGTTGATCCTGGCTATTTCTCAACCACTAGTCTAATGTTTTGCCAATTAACTACTGTAGGTATCAGCTGGTGATGGCAAGATATCCTGAGACACAAGTGCTGCATGTAGAGAAGGCTGGCAAGGGGATGCTATGCCAGTTTTGCTGTGTCAACCCTGAATGCCACAATACTTATATACATAACAGCTCCCTGCAGCCCAGTCCATCCCTGGGTGACCCTTAAGTGATTCTATAGTGTATGTGAGTGGATCAGGGAAAGGGCTTTAATTCAGCCTGATGATTTTTAAAACTGCTTTCTATGCATTTGCATGAAAGATTTCCTCAATGCTGATCATGTGATTTACCTAAAGCAGCCTGCATAACCATCTCCTATAAGGTTTTACAAGGCAGAAGTCCTTATTGCTTCTGTAACAATTACTGTTTATATAGCAAGAGTATATATCAATGCCACAGGACTTTTATATATGATTTATAAAGCTATATAATATATAACCAATAATGTATATCTTAGATGTTTTAGAGCATGCTTCACAATAGCATCTAAGTGCTATTTATATATAAATATAAATAAAAATATGTACACGCTATTTTATATATACATATATGCCAGGTGTGTGGAAGTGATATCTATGTGAGAAATTGGAGAGGCACGAGAGACATTTCTCTCTCTCTTGTGACTGCCTCCCCTGCACTCTGCCCATTTCCCACCCCATCCATATTATTCTAATATTTCAGTGTTCACACAGCTAGGTAAATATTTCTTCCTTCTCCTTCCAAATGTGGAATTTCCTCCCAGAATTATAACTGCCTGACAGCCGGGATTCAGTCCTGAACCAAGGACAGCTTTTCCATACAATAAATGTCATTGTTTCAAAGTCTCAAGACTCTACAAGGCTAGAAAAGGGAGCTTTATCTCAATGGGAAGTATAGATTTCCAGTGGGACACAAATCTTTTACTTCTAACCCTAAAAGGTCCCAAGACACCAGCCTTTAATGTAGATACATTTTGAATGTATAGGAAAGCTGTTGTAGGTCATTTTTACAAGGTTGTCTTGGCACTTGTTTAGGCTGACCTGCATAACTCAGACTTGGCTTCATCGCTCATGAGTAATGCAACCAACTGAACATCACACCACCACCAAGTATTCCATGCACACAGATGCACATAGCAGTGAACAATACTAGTGACCCCTCCTCCAACAGACAAATTCTATCTTTAATGGCTCTCAGTTAAAGATTCCTCATGTTGTTTCCAATAACATTTTGTTTGACCTTTAATCAAAGATCAACTTGTGCTAGGCAACATGTGTTAATTATTTCCTTGGATAGTCACCTAAGACACATTTCATCGTATATAGGAAGAGTTTCCTTCCCTGTATCCTTGACACCCAGATCCCTATTAACCAGGAGCCTGTCCTGAGGCCCTTACTCATTCACTGACTTCAACAGGACTCCTCATGTGAGTAAAGGCTGATGGATCAGGCACCCAGTGTTTTCCCTTCCCATGTTGTGGTGAACACTAGTTATGTGATAGTTATATTCTCATCACAGCAGTAACAGTGCCCAGAGATAACTGGAATCCTCTAAGGGTCTGAAGGCTGTCTCACGTCTGCGTTAGGGACTGGCATGCTGGGAAATGGAATACCTGTCAAAATCAACTGCATATTTGTAAAGGCCTGTCCCTGGGCTCACATATAAGCCAAGTGGCCATGCACTCACCTGTGTGTACAAACATGTGCTTGACATAGTTCTGTTTGGCGGTGAAAGTCTTGTTGCAGAGAGTGCACTCGTAAGGCTTTTTTTCACCCTGTCCACCTGCTGTGCTGTGGCCCGCAGATGGGGCCAAGGGCTGTGGGGCTGGCAGCTGGGCAGTAAAGGTTGACAGGCCAGGTTGGGTCACTGTCACAAACTGTGTCTGTTGGCCAGCTAAGGGCTGGGGCAGGCTGAAAAGGAAAGGTTTAGGTCCACTGCCAGCAGACTGTGTGGTAAAGAGGGCGGGCAGGTAGGTGTTGCCAGCTGTGCCAATGACCTGTGTGTTGCTGGTCAGGGTCAGCGGCATCCTCAGATTGCTGGTGAGGGTTTCTGTCTGGCGTAAGTAGAGCTGGGTGCTTGGCAATGGTTGGGCAACTGTTGTGTTGACAGAAGGCTGCAAGGCCCCCTTTTCGCTGTTGTTACTGACAGTGAGCACTTTGCTGTCCATTTCAATGTCATTGCTTCTGTCTGGCGAGGAAGTGTTGGCATCTAGGTGTTGCGGCTGGGTCTGTGTGCCTTCAGCAGGGACTTCATTTTGCTCTGCTTGGGAAGGTTCCTGCTGACCCTCTCGGCCCAGGTTAGCCATGAACTGCTGCTCCATGGAATCAGGCTCAGTCCCAATGGAGGAACTGACTCCAGAGTCAAAACTCTCCCCCTTGGGCTCACTCTCAGTGCCTTCTGCTTGGTCAGTGTCCTCAGTGCATTCCTCAGACTCATTACGCTCCAGGATCTGCACCCTCTGCTGGCCATAGTAGTCATAGTCATCCTCCATCTCCTGTTTGATGTGGATGTTGCCCACCAGGGTCTGGATCCGGACCGGGCGTGGTTGCTTGCGGCAGTGTGTGGTCTCTGGAGTGGTGGAGAGGTACCGCTCCATCTGCTGTGAGCGCTCGTGGATCCGTGTAATCCAGCTGGGGTCTTCCATGTGATGGTCTCTGGGGAGCCCCAGGGCTGTTTCATGGTGGCTGACCACTGCTCCGCTGTAGAAGGAGCGCTCCCCACTGCCATTCTGCATGGAACAGGCATAGAGAGCTGAGTAGATCCTGTCCACACTGTGCTGCGAGTGGCTCTGCAAGTAGCCAGACTCTGTGTCGCTGCTCTGCCCTGAGGTGCCCGATTCGGGGGTCCCCCTGGGCGTCTCCTGCCCAGAGTCCTGAATCACTGGGTAGACCTCCCCCACATTCTGCGAGACGATCCTTGTGCATTCGTCAATCACAGTCTTGATCTGCAGGATGCTGGCAGCTGTGAGGATCTGCAGGGCCTCTGACTGTGAGACCCGCAGCACCCCACTGTACATGAAGTCAATGAGCTTTTGCACGGACTGGACTGACACCACTGAGGGGATCTCGATGTCGCTGTACCCCAGTAGCAGCTTGTCCTGGAAGAAGGGGCTGCCAGCCGCCAGCACGCAGCGGTGGGCGCGTAGCATGCTCCCGTGGATGCGGACCGTCACGTCACAGAAGTGGCCACGGTTGCGCTGCTCGTTGAGGGTCTCGAGCACAGAATTGCTGAAGTTGTGAAGGTTGATGCTGTGAATGCGCTCTGTCATCCCCTTGCAACTGATGTTACCTGTAGCAAAGGATGAGACAAAACAGAGAGACAGATCAGGGCTTGTCCTCTGCATGTCCACAGCTGAGATGCTGGCTAAAACACCTGCCCACTGCAGGGACTATCTTAGAGGTACCTAAAGGGCCACTGAGCACAAAGCATCACCTCTATGCGTGGAGACAATCAACTCCCCAGGGAAAAGATTTAGCAGGATCTCTATGGGATGGATGAGCAGAGACCCACTCCTTGAATCTTCAAGCAAACTAGACAAGACTCTAATGGTCAGATTCTCACTTACAGTAATGATCTTTACACCACACTGGTAATATGATGAGGCTGTCATTTAAAAATTTCTGGCCCTCTATCTAGATCTGGATTTTGAAACCCCCAAAGTTAGGGCATAGTTAGATCCTGTGTATTGTAGTTCAGCCCTTAATAAAGGTGGCAGCCATTTGCAAAATCCAAATCTGGATCGTGGTTTGGATTTGAAACCTTTCCAAAATTCCAACTGTATGTGTGTCCAGGGTTTTGGTTTAGGTCATTCATTACTCAAAAGTGAACTAACCCTCGGTCAAGAATCAAAGGAGATCCATTAACTTTCTCCCCTATTTTCACTGCACCTTGGGGTTTTTGACACTACACCGGCTGGGACTAGAACTGCTGCAATACTAAGACAAAAGCTGTCTGAGGGTATTTATTGCCTGACCAGAAGTGGGAAGTAAAAGAAACCTGGCCAAAATGCCTGTTCTCAGGAGAACTTCATCAACTTGGCTTAACCAAGAAGTCTGGATAGTTTGGACAAGACCCAAATGTTCAGGTACAGATCTAACTGGTCCTCTTATTTACCTCTCACTGCTTTTACAGCTGGCTAAAAAATAACTATTTTTTTAATCTCTCAGTCTACTTCTCTCTCTCTCCCAAGAATTATTTTTGATTTAACATTGCTTCTCTTCCCTCTCTCTTGTCCGTTTAGATCAGTGGTTCTCAATCAGGGATATGTGTACACTTGTGGGTACGCATGCATGAGAAACTGAAAGTGAAACTGACTCTATAAAATCAGTAAATCAGACTAGCTTATTTTTATGGTTTAAGAAAAAAATGTAAAGCAAATAAACAGCATCTAAGGTGATATTAATAACAAATGTAAGAATGTTTACATTTTTGAATATATGATTTTTAGCCTGCCAGTGTTCTTCTAAGTCCAACATAAAGAACATTTGGTCATTGTTATTATTCTCATCTTAGAGACAGGCAGCAAAATGCTACCAACTGCAATTTGCTGAACAATGCAGCCCCCTCTCATTCACGCCCTTTCCTCTTCATTTACCCATTCTTGCTATCTTAAGCACCCTCTCTTCTGGTGCTTCAAAGAGAAACCATATTGGACACAAGTGGTTATTTAAATTCTCTGATGATAAAAGGGGACCAAAAAGGTCAGGAACTGGAAATTCTGACAGGGACAAGCTGCCTAAAGGAGCCTGATGCCTGCAGAAGGAAACAGGCCAGTATCAGGGATTGCACTAATTTCTGTATGAAACTGGTCTTCTGGGTGATGCTCATATGGCAGCAATGCTTGGGAAATCACTAGTGGAATCATGGAGACTGTGAATTATATCTGTTCTGTTCACAAACTTTGCCAGGACACATGAGCTTTATCCCTGACTGACGAGGACACTGGAAAGGCCACTCCTAGATACTGCAGGTACCTCATAGGTATTCACTCATAGATATTGCAGGTATCACACCAAGTAAAGTGAGTGGGCCTTTTCCTCCTCCTATACCAAGACAACCACCTCCCAGAGTCCTCCTGGCCAGCCATGGACACTTCCTTATGTGTCAGATCACAGGAGAATTCAAGATGAACTCAAGATAAAACACAAAGAATCTCCCTCCAAAAGACAGAGAACGTGGAGCACTACAGGGGTGGGGCCCCTGCAGAAGTGGGAGTGTGCTGTGGCTGATTGTTGAAGGGATGGCACCTCCTTTCTTCAAGGCCATCCCTGGATAAGGGCATGACGACATCTAATTGAGCGGATACACAAGACATTTTCTTTTTCCCAAGTTCTGCCAGGTCAAAACATACCTATCACAATCTGTTTTGATCATAAGGTATTCTTTTCATTCAAACTGATCTTTAAAACCAGTTCTCCCTGTAATTTTAATCCATTTTATAAAAAAAGATTTATTAATAATAGCAAGATGTGCAACAGCCTAGCTTAGCAAATCAAAATGGTTACCGCTCACATCCAAAGAACACCGGAGGGAACACCCCAGAAGCACCAGGCTGATTCTATAAACGTATGGTTTGATTTCAGAGGTGCTGTGAGTCCCTTCTCCTTTCGATGAACCAGTGCAGCCCACATTAATTTGGAAGTTGTACTTTTGCAAACACATTCATAGGAGAAGATACTTCAGTTCAACATTATTTATTTCAAAAGAATTTAGCTCTGGTGAAAGTTGCTGGACTGACGACTAAAGTCTACTGTTTATTCACAGGACAGGTACAACTTGAGCAGCATCAGGGCAAGCTTTGTTCATACATCCCTCTCGTATTCCCAAGCCCTAACCTGAAGAGAAAGGGGAATTCTGCATCTATGCTCCATTCAGTTCTTGGAATAGAAGGGTATAGCTTGTTCAGGAAGGATAGGCAGGATAACAAGGCAGAAGGTGTTGCATTACATATCAAAAATATATACACTTGTTCTGAGATCCAGAAGGAGGTCAGAAGCAGACCAGATGAAAGTTTCGGAGTCAAGATAAAATGGGTAAAAAATAAGGATGATGTCATGGTAGAGGTCTACTACAGACGACCAAATCAGGAAGAGGAGGTGAATGAGGCATTTCTAGAACAACCAATATAAATTCACAAAACACAAGACCTGGTTGTAATGTGGGATATTAACGACCCAGACATCTGTTTGAAATGTAATACGGCAAAACACAACATTTCCCATAAGTTCTTGGAATGTATTGGGAACAACTTTTTGTTTCAGAACGAGGAGGAAGTAAACAGGGAGGCATTGATAGTGATGCTATTTTAAACTTGATTCTGCCAACAGGGAGGAATTGATAGTGAATCTGAAGGTCTAAGGCAATTTGGGTGATGTGATTATGAAATGATGGATTTAATGATTCTAAGGAAAGGAAGTCATGAGAAAAGCAGAGTAAGGACAATGGACTTTAAAACAGCAGATTTCAACAAACTCAGAGAACTGGCAGGTAAGGTCCCATGGGAAGAAAACCTAAGGGAAAAAAGAAGTTCAGGAGATCTGGCCTAAAGGCACAACTGCAGACTATCCCAATGCAAATGAAAGATAGGAAGAACCGTAAGAGGCCAGTATGGCTCCATCGCAAGCTCTTTAATGACCTGAAAATCATAAAGGAATCCTACAAAAACTGGAAACTTGAGCAAATTGCAAAGGAGGAATACAGAAGAATAGCACAAGTATGTAGGGACAAAACCAGAAAGGCAAAGACACAAAATGAGTTATACTTAGCCAGGGACATAAAGGCAATAAGAAGTGGTTTTAAAAATACATTAGGAACAAGAGAAAGACAAAAAAGTCCTCTACTTAGAGGGGAATGAGGGTTAATAACTGAAGACATCAAGAAAGCTGAGGTGTTTAATCCCTAGTTTATTTCATTCTTCACTAAAAAGGTTAATGGTGATCAGATACTCAAAACAATTAATATGAACAACAAGGGGGAAGGAACACAAGCTAAAACAGGAAAAGAAAATGTTAAAGAATATTTAGATAAATTAGATGTATTAAAGTCAGCAGGGCTTGATGCAATTCATCCTTGGGGACTTAAGGAACTAGCTGAAGCAATCTCAGAACCATTAAAATTATTTTGGAGAACGGCAAACATAGTACCCATCTTTAAAAAGGGGAACAAAGAGGACCTGGGGAATTACAGGCCCATCATCCTAACTTCAATACCTAGAAAGATACTCAAACAAATTATTAAATAATCAATCTGTAAGCACCAAGAGGATAATAACGTTATAAGAAAGAGCCAGCATGGATTTGTCAAGAACAAATCATGCCAAACTAACCCAATTTCCTTTTTTGACAGGATTACTGGCCTAGTGGTTAGGGGGAAGCAGTAGAGGCAATAGATCTTGATTCTGACACAGTCCCATATGACATTCTCATAAGCATACTAGGGAAAAGGGGTATAGATGAAATTACTGTAAAGTGGATGCATAACTGGTTGAAAGACCGTACTCAAAAAGTAGTTATCAGTGGTTTGCTGTCAAACCAAAAGGGTGCATCTAGTGGGGTCCCACAGGGGTCAGTCCTGGGTCTGGTACTATTCAATATTTTCATTGATGCCTTGGATAATGGAGTGAAGAGTATGCTTATAAAATTTGCAGATGACACCAATCTGGGAGATGTTGCAAGCACTTTGGAGGACAGGATTAGAATTCAAAACCTTCTTGACAAATTGGGGAATTCGTCTGGAATCAAAAAGATGAAATTCAATAAAGGTAAGTACAAAGTATTTTACTCAGGAAGGAAAAAATCAAATGCAAAACTACAAAATGGGGAATAACTGGTGAGGTGGTAGTACAGTTGAATAAGATCTGGGGGGTTATAGTAGATCACAACTTGAATATGATTGTGAAAAAGGTAATATCATTCTGGGGTGTATTAACAGGAATGTCGAATGTGAGACCCAGGAGGTAATTGCCAGGCTCTACTCGGCACTGGTGAGGCCTCACCTGGAGTACTGTGTACAGTTCTGGGAGCCACACTTTAGGAAAGATGTGGATGAATTGGAGATAGTCCAGAGAGCAACAAAAATGATAAAAGGTTTAGAAAACGCTAAGTAGTTTGAGGAAAGGTTAAACAAACTGGGCATGTTTATTCTTGAGAAAAGAAGACTGAGGGGGGACCTGATAACAGTCTTCAAAGATGTTAAGGACTACTATAAAGGGGACAGGGATCAATTGTTTGCCATGTCCACAGAAGGTAGGACAAGAAGTAATGGGCTTAATTAACCTGCAGCCAGGGAGA